AGGAGAAGGCTGCCCCCTACTGACTTCAGCAGGTGGAACTCCAGAGACGGTCCAGTTTCAGACAGAAGAGTTGGGATGTATTACCATTTTCTCCCCTTTTTACCTCCTTTCTTCCTCATCCCTACCTTCCTTTTTTCTCTCTGACCTTTCACTCCTAATGCATTATTTATTTCCTACCACGTGCTAGTCACTGCAATTGGGACTGAAACAATGAAGAAAAAAATATAGGTACAATCATTCAGAAAAAAAAACATTTGGCACAATCTATTAAAATTGAAACTGTGCCGGTCCTGTGGCCCAGATATTTAATTGCTAGGTACTCTAGAGACTCTTGTGCACATGTGTACCTGGATATGTTATAAATATTTTCACTATAGCTCTGTTGATAACAGCCCCGAGCAGGGTCCATTTTAAATATCTATCTTCAGTAGGATGAATAAATAATTTGGAGTATTTTCAAACAATAGAATAAACACTATGCAGCAATGAAAATGAATGAACAGTAGCTACATGCAACAATAAGGGTGAATCTTCCCTGAGCATGTGGGCTTTATTCTCTGTGCCTTAGTAAACAGCCAGTGACGAGATCGGTGTGTGACTTTGGGCAGTGTGTAGGGCGGAGTCTATGCTGGAGGCAGGGACCCTGGTGAGAGGCACTTGGGGTGGTCCTGGAGAGGGGTGGTCCTGGAGAGAGGGGTGGTCCTGGAGAGAGGGGTGGTCCTGGAGACCAGTGGTCCTGGAGAGTGGAAATGCTGTGCTCAACCCAGGCTGTAGCGGGAGCAGGGGGGAGAATGGCATCGACTGGTGAGAGGTGTGAGGAACAAAATAAACATAGCCTGGTGACCGATTGACTGGATTGATTGGAGAGGGAACCGTGTGACATGTTGCTGAGAGTTCTCATCTCGGACTGGGAGGATGGTTATATTATTAAGGGAGGCAGGAACAGGACTGGAGTTCTGAGATGGTAGAAAATGAATCTACATAACATGAAGTTATATGATCTTGGGCAAGTTATTTAACTTGTATTTACCATAGTTTTCTCAGTAAAACATAGAAAAAATGTAAGAGTACCAATCTCAGAAGATAATACCATGTCTGATATGAGAATATACACTGTTACTCTGCAGTGTTTTGAAGAATAGGTGTGACCCAGGTATATAACATCGTAAATGAGATGCAGTCTTTCCTTTAGGCGGAACGGTAAAAGACAGGTGTAGGAAAACTTGAATCGTCTCTTGTCTCTCCAGTGAAACCTAGGACACATCAGAGTTGGGCGTGGGAGAAAGGCTAGGACAAAAGGCACAAAGAACCGAGGTTGCATGGTGTGGGAAAGGAACGCCAACAGGTGATTATTAAACAAGACTTTCAGTGAAGGGTCAGTCAGCAGTTACTGTGTTGCTTTGCTGAAAACAGTTCTTGGTAAGAATAATTATTTATATAAAATGATCATCAGGGCCTTACATTAATATTTTTGGTGATTGCCAAGTAATACATATTTGTTATAAAAATTAGTAAAAAGAACACGTAAATAAAGAACACCTATAATTCTAATGTCCAGAGATACTCTTGTTAATATTTCAGCTCTACCCATTTGTCTGTCTGTCCATCTGTCCGTCCATCCATCCATCCATCTTTTCTTTCTTTTTCTTTAAAAAGAGTTGAAATTTAACTGTATATTGGTGTGTGGCCTGCTCAGTTTTGCCCAGGAACTTACACGGTGGCTTGCCGAGCATGAGGGATTTAGGTTAGCCATGTGAAGTAAGAAGAAAAGGTCCAGTGTGCTTTGTCAGTGAGTTGTTTAGGAAAAGTGCAACAATTTCTTCTCTGGCAGTCTTAAAATATAATAGAATAAATTCTGACCTCGTTGATGGCAAGGGCACGACCCTGCTTTCCTGCCCTGTGATTCTCCTGTATGTGGGAGAACCCCGAGTATGCTTCTCTGAGCACTTACTCCTCTCAGAATTGACAGAAAGAAATATTGCTGTGGGTATGATGTAGGAGAGGATTTTATTAGTCCCTCACCTACACTTGCCTGGAGGACTGACGAGTGCCCCTCTCCCAAGAGGATAAGTCTGCTCGACTACTCATTTTTAAATATTAAAATCACTGTTAAATTCTAGTCTGACTAATCAGAAATAAAGACAGGGAAGATTAGTGTCACATGAGCAGATCATTTTAAATAGGCTTAAATCTAAGAGGTGGAAGCTGCTTTGCCCAGGCTATTTGCCTAGACTATTTATGTTGGATTGGCTAGGACAACTCTGTGTGTGTGTGTGTGTGTGTGTGAGAGAGAGAGAGACAGAGAGAGAGAGAGAGAGCACACGGGTGAGATGACAGAAATGTTCTGAAGGCTTTGTTTTTCTGTGTGTATGGTCTAAATGTAGAGGCTACTGATATTAGAGGATTAGACAGAAGATCTAATTAAGTTAGGTAGGCATTTTACCAAAATCACAGCTCTTTGGATCCGTAATTTCCTCAAAATATTTCTCTTTGTGTCAGTGAACGTGCTCATGTACATAGGCGCACGCGCGTGCGCGCGCACACACACACACACACACACACACACACACACAAGAGGAGACATGGTTCCCATCTCTTTTCCATAGAGGTCTAAGAAGGCAGGAAAATATTTCCTCTCTTGAGTCTTTTTGGTTGTAAAGAAATTTAAATTCATCCCTTTAACAAATGCTCATTGAGTTCATGGAGCTCTGGCACTGCGCTGAAAGTTGGGGATGGGAGAGTGTCTAAAAGCAGGAAGTAGTGACGACGAGCCTCTCGTCAGTGATGCACGTGCAGTAACAGGTTCACGTGCACCGGTTACTGGGTGGCCTCCAAAGAGAAGTCCTGTTGTCTCCAGCAGAAAGGCTAAGCTCCTCCCCCTGAGAAGCCCATCCGTGGCGTGGTCTCCATTGGTCTATCCAGCCTTACCTCCTGCCATCTCCCATGCCCACTTTATCCTCCAGTCATTCCTACGGGAAGGATTAAACTTGTTTTCTTTTTTAAATCCTTACTTGAGCATATTTTTTTTTATTGATTTCAGAGAGGGAGGAAGCGGGGTGGGGGGAGGGAGAGAGAGACAGAGAGACAGAGAGACAGAGACCTCAATATGAGAGAAACATCGATTGGCCGCCTCCCTTGCATGCATGTGCCGCCTGACCAGGGAGTGACCTGCAACCTAGGCATGTGCACTGACTGGGGATTGAACCCACAACCCTTTTGGTGTATGGGATGCCGCTGCAACCAATGGAGCCACCCAGCCAGGGCAAGAATTAAATTTCTTTTCAATCAAAAAGGGTGCTCAGCCCTCATGCCTCTGCCCGGGGCCTGTGGTTCCCTGTGGGGGCGTGCTCTGCCTGCACTGGCTGGTGTGACAGTACTCACCCCTGGGGTCTGCTGGCAGGCCCCGCTGCAGTGATGAGTGAGCGGTCGTGCTCTTCTCTGTCCCCAGCAGCCCCCCATCCCATCTTCCGGCATCCGAAGTCTGCTGCCTTTCCCTTCAGCGTTCAGAGTCAAGTGCGACAGAAACTAGCTCCTTGGGCAGCCCCATCTTAAACCAGAATGTCGGTGTGCATTTCACCCTTCTTTCTTTCACCCTCCGAGTGGAGAAGCCAGGTGTCAGGAGTTTTCTCCTGAAGGCGACGGTGCTGCACTGTGCTGGGTGGACGGGGGCTGCTCGAGGGAAACACACAAACGTTCTCATTCACTTGGACGTGGCTCCGCTTGGCCTGGCACTTGCCTGGGCAGCTGCAGCCTCTTAACGTGTCTGTGCAGTCTCTCAAAGGCAATGGAGTTAAAAGTCAGTGTCGCCAAGGGGGAGTGAGGGCCTGGGCTTCCGGGTTTGACATCTATCTGACATCACTCTCGTGTCATCCACACCTCTCTGTTATGAATTGGACATAATATCAGTAGAACTTTAAATAGGGTAGTGGCCCATCTAATCTGTTTTACCTCCCTTTCCAATCAAGGATTAAGGAAGCTGTTCTGGAGCCCTGATCTGGTAGCTCAGTTGGTTAAAGCGTTGTCCCGATATGTCCAGGTTGTGGGTTTGATCCCTGGTTAGGGCACATACAAGAATCAAATGCATAAGTAATGGAACAACAAATTGATGTTTCTCTCTCTCTTCCTCCCTCCCTTTCTCCCTGTCTCCCTCTGGCTCCCTTTCTCTCTCTAAAATCAGTCAATTAAAAAATGTAAAAAAGAGTCATTCTAAGCTTCTGGCTGTCCTGTCTCTGTCTCTCTCTAGTAATGGGGCTAACATTTAATGAATGCTGACTGCAAGTTAGGTAGTTGGGAGATACGATTATTCTCGATTTACTTGTGAGGAAACTGAGTTAAGAGAATCTTAAGTAATTTACTCAAGGATATAGAGCTGATAATCATCTCAGACTCAATTTTAAAAAGGCGTTTGACAGCATGAAATGGATATCCAATGGATAAATACACACACACACACACACACACACACACACTTAGAATTAGTTAAGTTTGTTTGTTGTGAGTCTAGTAGAGCAACTTTTTAAGATCATTAACTATCCTATCATGGAATTATTTTTAGGTATGACTAGACATTCTGTATTCTTGCAGTTGTTAGAATAATGTGCCCATGTTTTCCCATCTTCTAGCTTCATTGAGATGAAGTTGACTGTCATACAGTATTGTCTAAGTTGAAAATGTACAATGTAATGATTTGACGCATGTGTAAAATGCAAAATGATTACAACAGTAATGTTAGTTAACACATCCATCACCTTTTTTGTGTGTGGTGAGGACTTTTAAAATCTCTCTTAGGAACTTGAAACAAATATTCTTTAGTTCAAATAAGACTGTGGCTTATATTATATAAACTGTAAGTATCTCTTGAACAAAATCTTTTGTTGTAACAGGCAATTATTGAGTTACTATGGATGTAATTTTGTGGTGATTATAAGTGGTTATTAGGCTGTTGGAAATCTCTGTGGTTTAAATATCCATCAGAAATGTATATTTTTGTTTTTTTGCAGGACAGAGTTCATTCAAAGAGGCAAGATTTCAATCACGGGGGCTGGCTTTCTCAACTGCATTTTGGAAACGTTTGCAGGCACATTCTTGAGACAGGGAGCCCAGAAGGTAAGCCTGTATCCATTTGGAACCAACACTAATTCTGAGAAACCATGGATGTTCCTGTTGGGTTCTTGAATAAGGCTCATAAACAGAAGAAGAAAAATACAGTTAATAAACAAATATTTGCAAAAATAATTACCCTCATTAATTATTATATAAATCCAAATAAAAGTAAAAGTGCCATTTGTGGCCTATTAAATTAAAAATATACCAATGAAGCATATGTGATAATATGGAGAATACTTATAGTCTAATTAAGAGAAATAATCAGAATGAATAATTATATTTACAGTTTGTACAATATGATGACAGCTATTTAATTAAAAAGATAATAGCTAATATTTATTGAGTGCTGACTGTGCGCTACTCACTGTGAAAAGAATTTTTATCTATCTCAGTTAAGCCTCACAAACCTTTGGGAAAGCTGTTATTGTCATCCTGGTGTTATGGATGAAGACGGCACAGGAATCCGGAGCTCCTGCTCATCTGTTTCTGTGGTTCTCACACTCTGTCATCGTGGGGCTTAGGCGTCTGGGAAGGGGATTCAGAGGCCACCTCGGTGTTCCAAGGTCCTACATACCCTGTTTTAAGTGGAGCTATTCAGTTTTTAGTCTATGGAATATGACAGTTCACATGAGATTCAGGTATCCTATTTTCTTGCCTAGGGCCAAGTCCATTCCTTATGCATCTTTACATGCCTGTTGCAGGTGTTCTGAAGTGGTTTAAGATTGCATTTATTTTACGATATTGTTGCTGTTATTAATTGTGATTATGAACCTAATCACTTATTCCCAGGATCTACTCAGGACTTATACATATGTTACCTAGTAGGTAGGTTTAATGGATGGGTGAAAGAATTGTTAGGACCCTGGAGATTTTCTGGGCAGTGGACCTTTGTTCTCATCTTGCGATGAACCTGGGCTGAGATGTGTTGGTCTGCAAGGCTGAGGGTGGTGAATGAGTGTTTGGTACTGTGCGTTGCCATAGATGTACTGTGGAGATTGATGATGTCTTCCTGGCCTGGATGAGCATGTGTCCAGACTGGCCGAGCCTGGATAGGACTGGGCATGAAGAGGGTGGTTGAGCTTCTGGAAAGTTTGACCATGACTCACTCAGAAATTATTGCAGGTTTTTCTGCTGTATTGCAAAGTATGTGTTTGTAAAAATCCTTGTTTAGATCAGGAGTGGCAAACTTTTTCTACAAAGAGTCAGTTTAATGTTGAACTTTGTGAGCCAAGAGGCAAAACTGAGATATTCTGTAGGTACTTTATAGCAAGGGAAACAAATTTGTACAAGTTTTATTAAAAATATAATAATAATAATGTTTAGCTGAACTGGGGTAAAAATTAGTTTTCCCTACCATCTGATTGGTTGTAAATGTTTATTTGTAAAAACCATTTGTATCTCCTGGACTCTACAAACACAGGTACTGGGCTGGATTTACCCTCTGGGCTGTAGTTTGCCAACCTTTGCTTTGTATAAATAAATATTATTGGATAAATCCAAGTGGGTTTGATTTTGACCTGTCCATCAATCCAAACCTGTTAACGATTTAAGCATACAGTGGTTTGTACATTCTGATCCTGTGGGATATATAAAGTAGACATTGTCATTCCCATTTTATTGATGAGCAATATCTTGAGGAGACAAGTGCACCCAGTGTGTGTGTGGCTGCTCGCCCACCTTCCTTCCTGGTACAGATATATGTTGAATACCTGTTCTGGGCTAGGCACTGTGTTTAGTGTGGGCTAACTGGGTCTCTTCAGTGCCACAGGACTAGCAGAGGGTGGAGTCTGGACTCAAACCCCACCTTTTATCAACAAGTTTTAGCCCTTGGCACTTTATCTGAAGTGGCATGGTGCAGGCTTTGAGGAGTGGGTAACACCTGTACTCCCAAAGGGTTCTGGCCTCACAGTTGGTTCTGTGCTGGTTTTCCCCAGTATATATTTTTTTTATTGTTGACATTATTACCGATGTCCGCAGTCCTCTTCCCCCTTTGCCTGCCTCCACCCCTCTCCCCCGTTCTCTCTGGCCATCACCACACTGTTGTCTGTGTCCATGGGTCCTGCATGCATGTTTGTTGACTAATCCCTTCACCTTCTTCCATCTAGCTGCCCCCACCCCCCACCCAGGTTTTATGCTCTTGATAGCAGAGAGGGGGTTCTACTAACCCTAGTCCTGGTTTCCTCCACCCCATAGTGCCTTGGACAGTGCTCTGTGTATTCACGTGGGAAGGAGCAGAGGCCCACTGTTGGTTTCCGATGAATACTCTCTGGAAATAATCAAGTGACTAAATTTTTAAAGGGAAGAAACCCAGTGATTTCTCTGTATTCTCACTTATTACGCTCAGAAGTAAGAGTGTATATATATTTTTTTCTGCTGGCTTTTGCCTTTTCCAATTTTTTTAGGAGACTTAGTTTAATTAGTTAGCTTTGCAATTTTAGGAGCTTTCATTCATAAGTGCCTTTGCCTTTTATCTGGGTGTGGTATGTTCCGGCGTCAACCTGATTTCCTGAGAAAACCTGCACAGCTGAGCCTGTGTGAGGTGTTCCTTGTGAGGATGTCACCAAGAGAGTGTTTCAGGTGACTTTATTTTCACTTTAGAACGTTCTCCCTGAGGCTGTTTAGTGCTGGTAAAGGTGGGATATGATGTCTGGTTTTCCCAGAAACAGCAAAGCTAGACACTCAGGGATTTTATATCTCTGCGTTTGTAAATTAAAAGCTGGCCCTCAGTATGGACCCCTACGCCAAGGTCACTTGTGTTTCCATGCCTCAGGGGCTTGTTCACTGACTTTCTCTTCTGCCTTCACCGCTCAGAGGTGACTTGCAATTCAGGGACCTTTCTGACACAAATGCTGACTTTCATACATTACGTGGTCCCCACTTTCCTCTTGGAAAGTAAATAGGTGGGTAGGAGAATGAGGGTTTCCCTTTCATACTCAAGTCAGCAGATAGGTCCTTGAAACAGAAGCGCTTATCGCCCAGAAAAGCCCATTGTCTCGCAAGGAAGCACAAGTCTCTTCACCCCTCTGATCCTCAGTTTCCTTGTCCACAAGTGGGAATTTTAATGCATTGCCACTGACAGGTGAGAAAGCAACATTTGAAAGCTTTCAGTATATTAAGAAGACAGGTCACATATGAGGAGGGAACCCCCCAAAATCTGAAATTTATTTATATAAAGTTGTGTATTTATTCTTATGTGTTTAAACTTCAGTCACCTTCCAGGTATTCTCCATTTGAAGCAGTATACCAATCAAGTTTTTTTTCCCACTGCTTGAAACAGTTTTCGGACTTGTCAATTTTGATGCCTTTTAGTGCTTCTGCCGTTTTTTGTTTCACCTCTTCCACACTGGCAGAACATTTCCCTTTGAGTATTTTTCATCAGGGAAACAAAAAAAAAGTTGCTCAGAGCGAGATCGGGTGAATAGGGAGGGTGGGGCATGGGGATCATGCTATTTTGGTCAGAAACTGCTGACCACTCAGTGCAGTGTGGGCAGGTGCACTTGTACATCACCCACCATGAAATGGGCAAACACACTGAAAGTCTTCAAAGAAAATTCACTGAAGCTGAATGCAGCCTCTCACAGCAGTGCCAGCTGGCACACTGATACAGGTGCGTTCCTAGAACTCACCTAGTGGAGGAAGCCTGTACTGAAGGGGCCTGCCCTCCAGAAGATCATTCTGGGTCTTTTTGGTTCTCACCTATGTGTAAGGTGTTCTCTTTGTCGTTAAGAATTGAAAAAAAATTCTACTTGCATGCTTCTTTTTTACCCTTTCTTTTTATGATTGCATTTTTGTCTTGTTTTGTTTTTGCTCCTCAAAGTCACATGAACATGTACTAGATCTGCAACTGAGAAGTTCAGTTCTACAAACACTCCGGATGTCAGCTGTGAGCCATGCATTGGGTGGCATGCTGGAGACACGAGTAGGAGTAAGACAGCTTAACTCCCTAGACGTCCAGCTCAGGGTAGAAAGCATGACAGGTGATGAATAAACATCTGTTGACGCAAAAATGTATTGAGCCCACTTGGTGTTTAGTGTTCAGCATTGTGCTTGGTACTGACAAGGATATTGAAAAACAGCCAGTGCTTAACAAGAGCTTACTCAACACCAAGCACTGTGCTTGGCATGTATTACCATGTTTATTTATCTAAACGATTCTATGGAATAGGTGCTGTCCCCAGTTTATGCCTAGGGAAACTGAGGTCTCTAACAGCAAAGCAGTTTCCTCGAGGTCACGGAAGTACAGAGTAATGAACTTGGAAGTTGAACCCAAGCCTGTCTGACTCCAGAGTGTGCTGTGGATGACCGCACCACACTGCCACATCCATGGGGTCTGTGCTCAGACTACTGTGTGGGCAGGATGTGAGTGCTTGACCGCGCTGGAGCGAGGAGACATGCTGTGCGCGTGAGGATGGGGCACGCAGAAGCAAGGAGCTCAGTCACCCGTGGAGAACTTGGAACGGACTAAAGGAGTGAGGAGCCCTGATGTTGGTACGTGGAAGGGCCTTTGAGTGGCTACAGAGTGTCCTCCTCCTGTTCAGAGCCCCTAGCCTCTGTTCTTGGCCTAAATGCCATAATGCCACGCAGGTTGAGCGTGTGTTTAGCTGGCGTTTCTGCCATTTTTGCTATAGTCATATGTCCTTTTTCTGCTTTCCCATGGACTGTGGATTTGTTGTGCTTCTTGTTCTGAAAATATTTTTATATTAATATTAAAATATGTATTAAGATTCTTATTGTGGCAAAATATACATGGCATAAAATTTACTACCTTAATCACTTCCAAGGGTACAGTTCAGTGTCACCGCGTCTATTCAGCGGTGTGCAGCCCTCCCCACCATCCGTCTCCGGAACGTTTGCATTTTCCTAAGCAGAACTCTGTAGCCATTAAGTAATAGCTCCCCATTTCTCCCTCCGAGCTCTGGGCAAACACCATTCTGTTTTTTGTCTCCGTGAATTTGACTACCCCAGGTACTTCACTTAAGTGGAATCCTACAATCTTTGTC